ATTGATATTTTGACAACTGTACTAAATAAAAAGACTTATTTCAAAGTCCTTTTATCGATAGATGGAAGACAGCTCTATTCTGAAAGTACATCTCCTTTGAAAGCTAGTTACTGAAACTCACTGAAAGGAGCTTGAGGAGGGTGTTAAGGGGTCCGGCACTTGGATCACTTCATCCGTTCCTGCACAGCGGCTGCTTGTCCCATGCCAAGCTGCCATCCACTGAGGGACAGACCACGCTGCACATCTGCTGCTGGGAGTTCATTGCCAGAAGCCAGGGCTTTTTCCTCAGGAGCTGAGTTCATGGCACAGAGGAGTGCAGCCTTTTCTTTGCTGCTTCTTTGTTTTGTTGGAGATAGTTAAAGCTACTTAACTGTATGTGAGGGTAGTGTTTACAGCATGGTTTGGACAGAGAGAACACAAACCATGCAGTACTCCTTTCTGCCTCAGTGAGACACAGCATCGGATGCCGAGCTCTGTTTCGTCTTCGGCACATCCTTCCAAACTGAAGTAAAAGCCAACTGGTGTTCATGACAGGGCTGTTCTGTATCTATTCCTCAAAGCACTTGGAAAGATTCAGGCGCAGGCTCCTTACTGACGAACAATTGGAGGGCTGACGGGACCTCGTAATGTTCCGAGAGCAGGCTGTGCGGCACCAGCAGTGAGAGAGGAGGCTTGGCTGGGTGTGCGTGGAAAATTGAGTATCTTCACTGTTCCATAATCCTTCCCCAGCACTGACTCCACATAGTAAGGGTCTTCAACGTCATGGGCATATCAGCTTGCGTTACACAGGTTATGTCCAAGTCTCCACTGAGCATTTGAACACTCATTTCACAGTGTCTTCTTAATGGAACTCAGAAGCTTGAAAAGATGTCTCAGACTCTTCCTGCGTGCTCCCTGTAGGCACTTACCTGCTAGGTAGATTCACACAGATGGGAAAGAAGGGTGGATAGGAAGTGGCCAGGGGCCACCATTGACTGTAATAAATGTCTTTTATTTTCAAAGCGAATCTATAGAAAAAGCTATTACATTTTGACTTGAGACCAGTATTTTGATTCCATGTTTAAACTGAATCACAAAATACGTTAAATACTACTTATTTCTGTTATTGTCCAATTCATTGATCCTTGTACTATTTCTGATTTGAAAAGTCCTTGGCTTTGAGAGTATGCTTTCTCCTTTTAGAATGACTGCATAAAGCACAAATCTTTAGTAGCTTCTAAAATACTAACAAAATACACTAAAATCTTTCATTCAAATTAGTTGCCAGCGCAGGGGTCGGGGGGGGGTTAATACCTCAGTGGTAGAGCGCCTGCCTTAGAATGCGTGAGGTCTTGGGTTCTATCCCCAGTACCTCCATTTAAAAAACACTAAGTTAGTTGCCACTGCAGATGAGAAAAAGTACCATTCTGTATCCTAATATTCTATCTTAGAGTAAGTAGGTATATGGAGAGGACCATTCACTGTTTGTGTAGTTAAAATGTATATGCTAGCATGTTTCCCACAGTTTTGTTGTTGATGTTAATATCAAGCACTTCATTTTTTTCTTTGATATATCTGCTTTCACCATTTAGATGCAAAAAATGGACTTAAATTGGCTCTTATTTTTCATATTACAGGAAGCTTTGTGCCTTAAGTATACATTCTTTTTTTCTATAATACAGTTTTGGGAAACACTGAATAAGCTTAATTAGTGCTCAATAGATCTGTTCAAAATAACTGTCTGTAAATGACATAGGGCAGCCTACTTCCAGTAAACCTATAGTGGACATTTGTAATGAGTAAACTCTCTGTATCCCAAGCCATCCTTTTATGTATTGTGTTTGTGATTTTGAGTTCTTCTATGTCGGATTTGCCTAACGTCTTGTCTACTAATAACATTTCCAAAAAACATTTCAGGCCACTTTTACTAGCAAATATCAACTGGTTGTTTATGTAACACTTAAAGGATGACTTTATCTAATTGATAAATTTCATGATTTAAAAGTGTTTGATAAATGGAGTTTTAGTCTGAATGAATAAATTCTAAAGTACTGTGTAGTGTTCCTACACATTGTTTTCCAACAGTATCCCACTTGATTTACTAGTATCAGCCTGGGGAAAAATGGATTTCAAAATGAAAGCGTCTTCAGATGGCAAGGCTGTACTCATGCTTGTCTGGTTGTGCTTTTCAGTACTGCCACCTAGTGTAAGTAGGCAAAGCATGTCTCCACAAAATGGATGTATTCCATGAATTCTGGAAGGTTCTAAATGTGTTTGAGAGTTATGCCTTACAGTTAGTTTCCTTGAGAGAAAAATTAAAAGGATGTAGCAAGCATCCTTTAAATAGGGAATCCACTTTATAAAGTATTTCCTGTCTAGAGTTCCAGCTCCCTCGAAGTCAGTTATTGTATTTAGGAAGATTCATTATACTTCAGTCCTATAGGTGTGAGGCTAGGTTTATAATTTCAAAAATAATTTTTAGGGTTTTAGCTTTCATAGTAATTTAAATAAAAATGGTAAACAATAATGTGTGGTTCTAGGAAACATGGTGGTTTCAAATTAATCCCACATCCTATTGAAAAATGTTGAGAGCCACAAAGAGAATAGGGGAGGAGAAAAAAAACCATAAACTAAAAATGAAGAAGTAAAGAAACCAGTAGTCTGCAAACTCAAGACAATTACAAAGAGCACAAATTGAATTATATATATTGCACAGAAAGTTCAGTAAGAGACAAAAGAAGCTAGAAATGAGAAAAGCAAAAGGAAGTAAACTTAGAAATAAGAGAGAGGAATAACAAAGATAAGAGAGAAAATCGGTATCTTTTGAAGACAAGTGAGGGAAAGCCAACACATGCATGGAGAGTCGGGTGATGCAGTCAGCACTGATGGCAGTGGTGGTGCAATTGTCACTGCGTGTGTGTGAGCAAACTCAGTTGTTATTTCTGGTGGCAGCTCCAAACCTCAAGAAATTATTCAATGAACCATTTCAGGATAATTCGGAGAAAGAATATGAGTCTCAGTTTTTGCAAACCTTCTCTCGATACCTTTTAATAAGGTAAAGATCAAAAAAGCACCAGATCGACACTTACAGAAAACTTGTCAGTAGCTTGGAAGAAACTCTGTTAACAGTAATGGTGCTTTTTTTTTTTAACTTGTCATTTTGAAATAACTTAGAAAAGTTATAAGAGAAAGTAGAATTACCATAAATCCTTTATTCAATTTCCTCTAATGTTCACAGTTTACATACCATGATACAATTATTAAAGCCAAGAAACTTAACATTGATACAGTGCTACTAACTAATCTGTAGACCTTACTATGATTTTGCCAGTTTTACCACTAAAACCTTTTCTGATCTGGGAGCCAATCCAAGGTCCCACTTGAATTTAGTTGTCTTGTCTTTTTGGTCTCCTCCGGTCTTGACAGTTCTTACCTTTGTTTGTCTTTCTTTACCTTGATGTTTTTGAAGTGTTAGTGATTTTGTAGAATTTCCTTTGATCTGGATTTGCGTGATGCTTTCATATGATTAGACTGAAGTTAAGCATTTTTAACAGGAATTCCATAGGTGATGCTTTGCACTTCTCAATACATCACATCATGGTATCAATGTGTCTCATTACTAGTGACGTTAACTTTGATCACTTGGTTAGGATGGTGTCTGTCAGATGTCTCCAATGTAAAGGTACTCTTTTTCCCTGTATAATTAGTGAGTATCTTGTAGGGAGATATTTTGAAGCTATGCAGGTATCTTGTTCTCATGCAGTTTTTGCCCACTGATTTTGGCGTCCTTCAGAGACTTTTCCTGCAGTAGTTATTACTGTAGTGTTTGCTAATAATGATTTTCTATTTCCCTTGTTTCTTCTATTTTTGTTAATTTGAATTCTAATGTAAGGAATAGCTATCTCTTCTCTCATTTATTTAATAATTTGGTTATATCATACCACCCCATGTTTTCTGCATTGAAGAATGAGCTGTAATAGATAAACAACAGGTTCACACTGTATAGCACAGGGAACTATATTCAATATCTTGTAATAACTTATGGTGAAGAAGAATATAAAAACAAATATATATATATGTTCATGTATGACTGAAGCATTATACTGTACACCAGAAATTGACACATTGTAAACTGACTATACAAATATGTGTGTGTATATATATATACACACACACACACACACACACACGTATACATATACATACAGAAGAAAAAAAAAGAATGAGCTGTGTGGCAGAGTAATGAAAATACTTCGGAAATAAACTGTCCAAACTTCTTCACCCAGAATTTCAGAGTTAAAAATTAAAAGGTGGAAGCAAATCTGTTGATAAGTCCAAGTCCGAGAAATATCACTCAACTGTTTGGTTTCTTTCTTTGTTTTCATTTTTGGCTCAGAACAAAACATGACAGATTCTTCCACAAGCAATAGTTTAGTAGTGCCTTCTTGCATTCATTACTTTTAGTGTGTTGAAAATATCTCCAGTTACTATTCATGAAAGTATTAAATGTTTACATAAGAGAAATTTGCATTTGTATTTGCATTTTCTAGGTGCTGGTGCGATTCTGATTCCTCGCTTAGACATTGTGATTTCCTTCGTTGGAGCCGTGAGCAGCAGCACACTGGCCCTGATCCTGCCGCCTTTGGTGGAAATTCTTACATTTTCTAAGGAGCATTACAATATATGGATGATCCTGAAAAACATTTCTATCGCCTTCACTGGAGTCGTTGGTTTCTTGTTAGGTACATACGTAACTGTGGAAGAAATTATTTATCCTACTCCCAAAGTGACAGCTGGCACTCCACAAAATCCCTCACTAAATTTGAATTCAACATGCTTTACGTCTGGTTTGAAATAGTAGCAGCAGAACTGTGAGTCTTCAACTTTTGTTTCTAGTCTGAAAATGATTAAAATAAGAACTAGTAGAATACATTGCCACATACTTATAAATAGAACCAAACCATTTTCTTTTGGCACCAGATTGATATTTTGGCAGTAAATTGTACTTCTTTACCAGTGCTGATAAACTACAACAGATTCTTGGTTTTAAGTATTACCAGCAATTTAAAAAAGCTTAGTTTTGAAAGTGTAAAAAATTAAAATGTTAAAAAAGTTAAAGAGTAAAAACACTTCTGTTATTCTTCATTCAATGAGAAATATTTTAATCAAGATTCTCTCTTTTACCCCCATGTTACTCTCTTGCCACCCAGTGGAGGGGAGAATAGGGTTTCAACAATAAGAGAATTAAAGCAAGATACAGGTAACTAAAATCTGACCATCCCAGTGAATTTCAAAGTATACTTTGTGTGTAATGGAAAAATATTTCGATTATGTTTTTATTAGAGAGCCAAATACTTAAGTTTAGCCCCTGGAAATTTAGAAAGCTCTCATTAGCCATAATGTAAGCATCAGAAGATCCCCCAAACCAGTGTTACATTTACGCTACTCTGTGATAGTAGCTGATCTTCATAATGAAAACCAGGAGGCACTGTGCACAGTTCTGACTTAGTGTTTCAACCAAATTTGAAAGAGACCTGAAAAGTTATCCAATACAATTTCCTTTTTTTTTTTCTTTTTTTAACTGATGAAATCAATACCCAGGACTGTTAAGTAACTTGGTCAAGACCACTCAGCCTTGAGCTCAAGAGAACCTGATCTTTTGATTCGCAGTCCAGGATGTTTTGTCTTTCCCATCACATTCAAGAGAAAGAATAAGTTACGTTCAGTTTAACCTTAGTGTTGAGTCTATGTAATTACATTTTCATACTTTGAAAGTCATGATGTTTGACGAGTGCACACGACCCGAGCAGAAAGTCGGGGAGCTCTTTAAGAAGCCTGCGCTACAGCCCTTTAAGCCTCAACCTGGGAAAGAAGCGATGCTCTTTGAAGTAGAATAGAAACCACCCGCTGGCTAAACTGCCGGCTGGGAGAAGGTGCTCAGCTGTCCTGTTTGTGGCTCGAGCTCCCCTTCCCATTTCTTCCTTTCTAGGCTGGTAGGCACCGTCTTTCCCTAAAGGCAGAAAACAGAGCTGACAAGATGCAGGATTTGTGCGTTCTTGCCAGCCTGTGGCTTTTCTTACCACAACCTTTTACTCATCTGAGTGGGCAGAATAAGAGGCTCAGGCCTGGGGAAGACCGAGATGATAATGATCTCTCTTCTAGATACTGAGACGCTCCAGGCTTCTTTCAGAGAAATACCTTCAGCTCCTCCATCCTCTTCAAGCCCAGTTATTGACCATATCAAATAATCTCAGTGAGCATGGAGGATGAAATGGTTAAGTTTAAAACTGAGAATTCTGATTTTTTTTTTAAATTCGTACTTTCACACTCATTGAGCTTTTTAGTCAGGCTGGTGTGCTCTAACTTCTAATACTACAGAGTGCCACCCAGATCACTGTAGGGGGTATAGTCTATATTTTTATATGTAAATGTTAACTTAGCTCAAGTATTTTTTGCTGAACATTACTAACAAGTCATCAAGTACAATCCTAAAGATATATCAGAAGCTTTATTTTGGTACAAATTCATAAGAATCAAAACTTTTTTAAAATGCTTGCATTAGGTATCACGAATAATTGTGATGTTTTGATGTCAAATCTGTTGAGCCTTCAGTCATAGTGGGAAATTCGGCAGAAGTTATAGGAAAAGTAACCGCCGTTTAAAATGTTTATATAATCTTGAAGCTAAGAGTAAATTAGGTGTTTTTTAAAAAAAAATGTATAACTTGGCATAAAGTGACTTAAAAACCATTATTTAATAGAAAGCACTGTTAGGTGTTTGTCAACTGTCTTCAGGTAATATTTCTCGTCTGTGTGTGAAATTTTATTTTTATACTTTGACCTTTGTTTATATTCCTTATGGAATGCATTAAATTCAGTGAAATTTCAAATAGTTGATCATAGCAATATATAAGTTTTAAATTCAGTGAACAAGTTTTGAGTATATTATCAACCAGGCTTCCTTATGCACTGAGTGCTGAACTGGCATCCAGTATGCAGTTCACTAAATTATCAGTACTTAAACACAGAGGAAACTTGAAATGCAGGAAGGAAGAGGGGTTGAGAAGGGAAAGAGTAATTTTAATTCTTAACAAGAAACACTATGTACAGATAAGTATAAATGCACTCTTATTTAAGAATTTTTGATGATGTATTTTATTTGCAAAAAGAATGGGCACTATTTTTCCTCTGAAAATTTAGTTTTAATGAGTCATAACATTTTCTGAAGATTCTTGGAGAAGATGAAGATATTTTGATTAAACCAGCTGTCGACTTTATTTTGGGGCCTGGAAAGATGAGAGTGGTTGCACCTGTCAAATTTTGTATCCAGCATCTTTGGTCCATTCCACGGCTGAAATGACTTCAGCGTTTCTCCTGCCACCTCAGTGATGTACCCTCTTCTCTGAAAGCTAGTCAGGTGCCTAAGAGCCTCTTCCGCTCCTGGAGTGGAAGAGAGAAAGGATGGCTTTATTTACCTCTGATGACCTCTGAGCTAAGTCAGTCACCACTGTTCCCTTACAGCCAAAGGGGTTCCACCAATTTCAGAGTCAACTTGTCAAAACACTGGTTCTTAGACATTGTTTGTTTGTTTGTTTTTTAATCAGAGGATCTTCTTTTCCCCACCTGGCTAGATTTCTCCACAGTTGAATAAACAAGAACAAATTTTTTCTTACTTAAAGACCAAGTTGTATGGCGTTGACAAAATGAAAAAAGTACTGTATTAGCAAATGCCATGTTATGTTTTATGTGCCCTCTGGATTCCCCTTTATTAAAACAATTTCTGCCTCCTGTCTAGGTGATGCACCTAACATTTTTATAAGCATTTTATGCAGTTTGCATGTTGTAAATGTCCTAACATGGCCTAATTTCATTCAGTATTTTCACAATAGTTACAGAAAGGCTCTTTAACTGCAAAGTGGTGCCCCAATATTAATTGAGATGTTAAAGTTCTACATTAGTGCCATTTCCAGCTGTGGCAAGGCACAGGTCTTGCTCCAGCTCACCTGTAGCACCTCTCCTGGAACTAACATGTGGCAGGTGGCAGCACAGCATGAGTGGTGCATTTTTTTCTTACTGATATATGTACCCACTCCTTTCTTCACTTAGAATGGAGAAGAGACTTAATAGAGCTCATGGAAATGATAAATACAATTACTTAAATGATACCAATGGCTCAATGAATGTTTTCTGTTGAGGAATAAAATAATTTGGTAAAAATATGGACCACTGATACTATAAAATGAGCTCTTAAAAAATGAGTATTTTAATCTTTTTAGCTCAACTAGCTTCCCCTTCATAAGAAAACTTGAGAGACTTTGATCCAAAAGGCATCACAAGGTGCTTCCTAACATTAAATGGCTGACTATAACAGTCAATATTTTGGCAGTAGGATTAACCAATCTTATTTATGCTCACTGAGCTAAACAGCTCTCTGAAAGTGGTTGGTTTTAACCTAGGAGATAAGAAAACAGCTTCGGAAATGCGATTTACTGCCCTATGATAAAATGAAATGACAAATCACTCGTTCTTAAAATTTTATATTAAGGTTACCTAGTTCTTATGTATACACGTACACACACAACACTACTGTGTGAGTTAGATACTGGTACTAATTTACCATTTAAATTGGGTCCAGAAAGATGATGTATTGAAAAATCATTCTGAAAATTATTCCAATTAGAGTTTTCGTGATAACAAATAGGGAAGTACATGCTTATACCATGAATAAATTAAGCTGTGGATTTTTGTTTTTCAAAATGATGTTTGTCTGAATGAAAACTAAGTATCTGCACTTGAGTCTGTTCTTTTTCTTTTAACTTATTTTTCTTTATTATATGAAAAAAAGTCTTAAAGTACTGTAACTGAGTTTTCAATAAAATATTATTTTGCTTGCAAATGCCTTTTTAAATACATTTGTCTTTTAGAAGGTTAAATGACAGTGACAAAGGTCATAAGCTGAAAAGGGCACAAGTATGCTATTCTCATGACAGCATTTTAGCCAGTCTTTGCGGTTAATTCTTTGTCACGTGACCTTCAACCTTGGAAGTTTATATGACGCACCTCTAAGGTTTAAGAGCAGAGATTGACTAAAAATGAAAGGTTATACTCAAACCATGGCGTGAACTTCCTCTAGAGTGCGTGCAGGAAGGGCAGACTGCATCTGCTGCGTCCATGCGTCCATTTGCCCCTCTCTTAAGGTCAGGAGTGTGTAAACGCCACACCAGTACACTTTGCTTGTATTATGCCAACCCCAAATCAAAGACCGTCACGGTATTGATACCTTTACATCAATAAGCCTGCCCTTGTGTACCTAACGTAGGATATACTGTAGTTCCTCAGAAGAGAAAGACTCTATCCCTACAGGTGCATTGGCAACGTTAAGTTTAATAGTGAAAAACTGAAAACAACCTAAATGTTCAACAATGGGGACATCATGAATTACTATTACCTTGGCCTAGAATACAATGAGGATCTTATTATATACTGATGTTACACTGAAGATTAGTAATTTGATAAAGAATAAATGCATAAAACTAATTTTTAAGTGTAGCTCTGTAAAAAATACACTTTTGGACCAATGCAAGGAGATATGCAGAGAGAGGAACCACAGGGCTAGGAAAAAGAGGGATTTTACTATTTCTAAGTGAGTAGTCAAGAGAAGGCTGGGAGAGAAAGAGAAATAAGGTTTAGAGAGGGGAACAGGGAGTTTATAAAGCTTTAGTAGTAGTACATGCCCTTGGCAAGCAGCAGGAGGAACATAAAGACCAAAAACAACCAACCAAACAGAAAAGTACAGGGTGGGGATAGGACTGGGTACTGACATAGAGATGCAAATGCAATGAAAAGCCATATGGAATACTTGCTGGAGGGAAAAAAATTAGCTAGTGGTTACCAGTGGGGGGAGGGGATGGAGGAAGGGCATATAGGGGTGAGGGATTAAGAGGTAAAAACTATTAAGCATAAATTAAGTGTAAAATAAACTACAAGGATATGTTCAAAAGCACGGGGAATATAGCCAATATTTTATAATAACTGTAAATGGAGTATAACCTTTAAAAATTTTGAATCACTTTATTGCACACTTAAATAAATTATAAATATTGTACCTAAACTATACTTCAATTAAAAATTTAAAAATATTAAAAAAAAACCAACTGCTGGAAATTGCATTTCAGTGACAGAAGACGCTCATCAAACAGGCATGCCTGCAACGTTTCACTTTTCAGCCAGTGCAGTACAGTATGTATATGAAGGAGGTACTTGGTGACTTAGGGTTACTGTAATACAGAAAGCCACAGGAGAAGAGATGTTTTAATCAAAAGTTATTTTGGAGCCATGATACAGACTGGTGATGTATTAAGTTCAACTCTGACCGAGGCCCAGATTCTTACAAGATTAGAAGGATAGCCCCTCAGTGGAAATCCACATACTGCCTGGTTTTCAAAGGTTAATTAGCAGTCTATGGTAATGGTGCCTCCTGATTGCAAATGTATGTTTAAGGAAACCGTGAAAATTGTTATTACCATCAACTTGGAGCTATTGAGTGAACACTTTTTCAGCATGTTCTGCCAAGAAATGGACAGTGAAGACAAAACACTGCTTTTCCCTACTGATGAATGCTGGCTGGCAGAGAGAAGTGTGCTCCTAGAAGCTGTGAAGTAAGGGATGGGACATTCTGTCACGACGTTAATAATGCCAATAAAGACCATTTCTATCACTTCTAATGCATAGTGCATCTCAGCACTATGCATTAGAAATTACCTTGACAATCCTGAACTTATTACTCACTGCAGGATGAACTCTTGCCAATTTTCCACAGTAAGGATGAGGTGTCAGGATGAAAATATGACAAAACAAGCTATGGTACGAATGCCTCAGTCACTAGGAATTTGACTCATTCGGAATAGTTGATTTTTGTTCTCATTAGAGAAAACAAAACAATGAAATCTTGTATATGTTTAAAAGCAAGATATAGCAATTGGGGCAGGGGGCGTTATGTGTTGGAGGCATAGCTCAGTGGCAGAGCACATGCCCAGCATGCATGAGGTCCTGGGTTCAACCCCCAGTACCTCCATCAACTAAATAAATAACCAACCCTAATTACCTTCCCTGCTCCCACCAAGAAAGATGCAGCAATAAAATATGAAGAATTGCTCTGTAGAGCACAATGCAGTCAAAGAGTGATTAAGAATTTGTCACTACCCCCAAGTAAATCCAATCAAACTGCCAGGTTTCAATTTGATTGTGGACTTAAGAGTTTGAAGGTACTACTCATTAAGTCTCTCTATTAATTCTGGGTCCATGTTTGACCTGAATATCCAGAGTTATCAGCCATCAAACACTTGTTGACATTCCCAATCATCTACAATTGTAATTTTAACCGTCTAATTGAGCAGTAAACGAGGCAGGAAAGAAACATCCTGCATGTAGAACCTAATGCTTGAATTATTGAGCCAGAAGCTTAGTGAGAGGTTAGCAATGAGATCAGCCCTCCTCCACTGACATAGAACAATTTTTCTTACCATTTATATTATGTTCCATTTTTATAATTTAAAAATAAATAAATAAACCTAATTACCTCCTCCTCAAAACAAAAAATAAACAATAAACACCTGCTCTGTAATGCATGGTGCAGAAGTTCAGCCTCTGACGAGGTCTGTACTAGTCCGTGTGGGGCCTTTGGCATCCTTCCAACAAGACAAAACCACATTGTCACCTCTGAATTTTCAAGAGGACATATCCAAAGAAAATAAAAATGGATGCTTGCAAGCTCCCAGACTTCTCACTAAATGGTATTAGGGAGACTGGACCGTACTTCAGATGTATTCCCCCAGCAGCGATCTCATTAATATGCTAGGGGTTCAAGGTAAACACTCTCTAGGGCAACCGTCCTCAATGCATTTTACTTACTGTCTGATAACCTCACCCACAGTGGGAAACTAATGCTTCCCGCTTATGATGAAGGTGGTGAACATAATCACCACAAAGCTCTGTGGGAATGCCTTTCAAATGCCGAACGTCGCACATCTCAGGAAAGTTATCTGTCACTTGCAGCACTGCGTCTGCTCCCACACTACCCCACAGTCCACGCGTCCCTGCTGCGGCTTCAGGGGCTTCCAGGGGTGAGTGGGCTGGTCTTAGCAGAGGTGCGGTAAAGCACAAATACTAGTTCCCATCACCCCTTGAGAGCAGGGCAGAAAAACATGTCCATCAGAGTGAAGGCAATTTGGCCTTTTTCAGATAAACATTATGGTTTTTAGTATCTGCAAAATGACCGTAATTCATCTGTGGGTGTATTTCATCTTATTCCTGAAAGTAATACAAACTCATGTGGTCAGAATGGGGCACCAGCTCACCGACTTTGAACTGTGGTATAAGCAGGTAACACGCACGCAAGCCTCTATGCCCCAAAGGACCCATGGGTTCCCGAGGCAGGAGTCAACCACGCATCCGG